CTGCTCTGTGGGTCAGGATGGCCACTGCATCCTGCTCTGTGGGTCAGGATGGCCACTGTTGTACCACTTTTCTGGTGTCACTGTTTTCTGAGCCTGAGTCAAGGAGTTTCAAAATGCAGGGATCGCAGGGTTGAAAGCATGGGTTCTACTCCTGGCTCTTATTTGGGGATACTGGGATTGCCTCCTCTAGCTTCTGAGATGGCTCATTTTATACCCATACTAAAGTTTCAAGTTCCAATTACAGTGAACTCTGTTAACATCCACAGATGAGCATGTCATCCTATCAGTAACTTCTCCCACCTATTCTTACTCATACCTATCAGGAAAATAGTCATTTGGTGGGGGTTACAAAGATAAGGCTAGATAGAAGAGACATATTAAATAATTACCTACACTACATTTACCACCATCCATCTGTCATTTTGTCCCACTGCTATGCCACCAATATTTTAAATGCAAGAAGGGTCACTCAGGGTGTATAGGTTTCAGCAGAGCTTCCAGACAAAGACAGTAGCAGGCTATTTCTTAATGGTTCTCCACTGAAAACCTTATGAACAGCATTGTAACATTGTCAGATATAGTAATAGAAGATGAAAGCATTATTAATAGAAGCAGAATGTTGTTAGATACAGTGCTGGAAGAGGAACGCCTCAGGTTGGAAGGCACTCAAAATACGACAGGAAAAGAGCTGCCTTCTCAAAGGACAGTTGACCATAGTGACATGAATGGACTAAAGCTTCGAGGACCTCCATTTGCTGATGGAGCCCCACTCAAAATGAGAAGAAACAGCTGTAAACATCCATGAATAATTGGAGCATGGAATGTATGAAGTATGAAAATTGGAAGTTATCAAAAATGAAATGGAACTCACAAAGGTTCATATCCTAGGCGTTAGTGAGCTGAAATGGATTGGTGTTGGCCATTTTTACATCAGATAATCCTGTGATTCACTATGCCTTCAATCACAGATTGGAGAGGAATGATGTCCTATTAGTCGTCAAAAAGAACATTTCAATGTTCTGTGATAGGATAGTATCTATACATCTATAATGAAGACCAGTTAATAGCACTATTATTCAAATTTATGCATCAACGGGCTGAAATGTAACAACAATTGTTAGGGTTGTATAAGACTGGGCAGTATTTTGTGCTGTTGTGCCTAGGACCACAATGAATCAAAATCGACTCAATGTCACCTAAAAACAACACCAACACCACCACAGTTATACATTAAGAAACATGGGTAGGGGCATGCCTAACTCCAGGCCAAAACAAGAGTCTTTGAGAAAATGCTAGAAAATTAGAATTTACTTGATTTTATTGCTACCTTCATATATAAAATCTATTTTCAGTTAATCAATGATATTTATAGACTTAAGAGGTAGAAATTTGAGGTGTAGAGTCTGAGTGGGTATCCACAGAGGGCACATTAAAAGAGCAAGTTTTAATCAAGCTTAGATGTGTAAGGTTTTCTTATCTATAATTTTTAAAGCATTTTTTACTATTATCATACTCAATTTGTTTCAGTAAAGTTCACATAACATTAACCATTTTAAAGTGTGTAATTTATTGCATTTAGTACATTCCTGGTATTTTATAACCAAGACCCCTCTCTGAATACAAAATATTTTCATCATCCACATATAACAATGTTTTATTTTTATCAACAATGAAATAGAAATGTTTCCAATCATTATGTGACCTACTCTCATAGAAAAGCTAGAATGTGACGTGATCCACTAAACTGTGCAAGTGCCTAAATACCTAGGAGGAATTAAAATCCAATGATTTAACTAAATACCCGAAAGTGACAAAAAAATTTCATGGTATTTCATTTCCACAGTTTTGATGGAATTTAGTAAATATCTTTAAACTCTAAATACTTTTTCCCACTGGGTCTTCAGTCACAGTTTAAGTTATTGAATATCTACACCAGTTCTTGTTTAAGACCCCACCTGTCTGTCAGTTTGCTGTAATGTGGTGGCTGTGTGTTGCTCTGATGCTAGAAGCTATAATACTGATACTTCAAATACCCGCAGTGTCACCCAGGGTGGACAGGTTTCAGCAGAACTGCTAGACTAAGACCAATTAGGAAGAAATGTTTGGCAATCTTCTTCCAAAAATTAGCTAATGAAAACCCTATGGATTACAACAGAAGCTTCTTTGACATAGTGCTGGGTGATGAGTCTTCTACATGGGAAAGTACTCAAAATGCACACCAGGTCCTGGAACATTTTGTTCTATTGCCTGTGTAGTCACTAAGAGTTAGCACTAGCTTGATGGCAACTGACAACATTTCGAGTCTGAATTAGAGGTGGACAAAGCCTGCAAACTAATCATATGTACACTGTGATAACGAATGTAAAAAGAAACATGGCCACACTTATGTACAGGTATCCTTAGCAAAAGTTTGCTTTATGCCACTTTGCTTATTTGAAAGACCTACATTCATACCTGTTTTTGCTTGAAAGACATTCAAGGAGGATTTTTGCTTTTTGCCAGACAAAGGCAAAGAGTTTGTTTTGCAATAAACTGTTAAAGCCCCATTGCGCACTCAGAGTCACGAGAGCAGAGAGCATGACGTGCCAAGCTCCTTTCCTGGGGCGGAAGTGCAGTCAGCATCTCCTTGTCAACATAACCATAGCTTTGAATTGTACCTGTGAATATTCATACGTGTTATTGTAGGTTTTTACTGTGTTATTTGGTATGATTTTGAAGGTTGTTTTTTGGACGTAGGATTGCTCAAAAATTCTTCTAATACGAATTAATTGTACTTGTTTCTTTGTTTGCTTCATGATATTTTGGCCTGTGAAATGCTTCAAAGGAATGTTTTACTTTTCGATAGTGGGGAAACTTATAAAGTCATGTTTCTTTAAGTTGTCCTCTTGTAAAATACTGAGCATCACATTCACTGTGGTTCTCTTTCAGCTCTTCTGGAAGCACAGGATGTGGAACTTTACCTGAGACCACTGAGGAGACACATTCAGTGTCTCCAGGAGACGGAATTCCCACAAATGCATATGTTAATCACCCCACTATTTCATACCATCTGTCTGATCTGGAGTCATTCGAAGTTTTATAATACCCCTTCTCGGATTATAGTTTTATTGCAAGTGTTTTGTAATCTCTTCATTGACCAGGTATGTTGTACAAAAAATTAGGACAGTAAGAATGAATCATTGTCATACATTGTTGTTGTTGTTACTGGCTGTTGAGTCTGTTCAGAATCATAGCAACCCTGTGCCCAACAGAATAAAACCCTGCCTGGTTCTGTACCTTCCTCACAGTTGTTAGGTTTGAGCTCTTTGTTGTTGCCACTGAGTCAACCCCTCTCATCCAGGGTCATCATCTTTTGTTCTGACCCTCCGCTTTACCAAGCATGATGTGCGTTCCAGGGACTGCCCCTTCCTGGCAATTTGTTCAAAGTTACAAAACATGAAGACTAGCCATTGTCACTTCCAAAGAGCAATCTGACTCTACTTACTCCAAAACAGATTTGTTCATTTTCTGGCAGTCCACAGTCTATTCAATATTAGCCCCCAATTCCATCATTCAAATGCATTGATTATTCTATGGTATTTCTTATTCATTGCCCAGCTTTCACATATGTATGCTGTTGTTAAGTGTTGTAGAATTGATTCTGACACATAGCAACCCTGTATAGGGTTTCTGAGGAGGAGCTGGTGGGTTTGAACTGCCCAACTTTGTGGTTCACAGTCCAGTGTTGATCCTACAGCACACCATATGAGGTGACTAAAAATTCTGTGGCTTGGGTCAGGTGCACCTTAGTCGTCAAAGTGACATCTTTGTTCTGTATCACCCTAAAGAAGTCTTTTGCAGTTGTTTTCCCTAAAGCAATATGTCACTTGATTTCTTGACTGCTCCTTCCATGAGTGTTGATTGTGAATCCAAGTAAAGTAAAATCTTGCACAACTTCGATCTTTTCACTGTTTATCATAAGGGTGTTTATTGGTCTAGTTGTGAGGAGTTTTGTTTTCTTTACACTGAGGTGCAATCCATGCTGAAGGCTGTTGTTTTTATTTTCATCAGTAAGCACTTAACTTCCAGCAAGCCAGGTTGTGTCATACGTAGATTACAGGTTGATGATTTTTTCCTCCAATCCTGATAATCACGTTCTTCATGTAATCCAGTTTCTCAGATTGTTTGCTCAGCATACAGTTTGAATATGTATGGTGAAAGGATATAACCCCAATGCTCACTTTTCCTTACTTTAAACCAGTAGATTTCATTAAACCAATGATGAAGCAAATAGTCCCAGTATATAGTCAGACCATCATTTTCCTTTTTTAAGAAATAATTTCTTGGTAACAAAGCCTTGCTCTTAAGTGCCACAGAGTCAGTTCCAACTCAGCGACCCTGTAGAGGGTTTCCAAGGAGCAAGTGGTGAATTTGAACCACCAACCTTGAGGTTCAAACTGAACTTGTGGTCCAGAACATTGTCCCACAGCACCACACCAGGACTCCTAACAAAGGCTAGCTGGCTTTTTATCCAATTTTGTTTATGTGCTTTTCTCCAAAGAGAGTTAAGGCAGTTTCTGGTAAAAGACAGATATGCAGAGTGCAGTCTTTGTAGCTTTCCATTTGGTTTCTACAGGAATCCTGACTGATGGAAGACTTTCAGAAAATGTAGCGAATTGTAACCACACAAAAGTGTATATGGGGGGGGGGCTTCAATGTCCTCGAAAAATCCCACTATCTTTTAATTCTATTTTCCACGAACTGTTGAAGGACTCTCATATATACTAAGAAAAAAATAGAAGTGGAGTTGTATTGAAAGACTCTGGCTTGAAGGTGTTCTGCCTCCTCTTTGATTCTTAAACGTCTCTCTTAGATTGTTTCTTTAGTTACTCACCTCATCTAACCTACAATTATTTTTTAGGTGACCTTCCTCCTTACCCTTTCTAATTTTTGGGACATGAACGCTAGTTCTTTTTGTGTCTGTAATATCAGAGAATACCACACAATTTCAGAGCAAAACAGTTGACTTGGAATCACATTCATTGTTGAATGGTTCTTAATTGATTATCGAGTGGTATGGTTTCTGAGCTGCCTAAGGAGTTGTAAAACAAATGTAACCCATTGGGTCCAAATATGTGAACTGGATCTCCTCTAGGTGCAACTGTGACAGACTAGAATTACACAGGTTTGAGAGTGAGTGAGTGGGAGATAGAACAGTGAAGACAGAGGAAGAGGAAGTATTATTTAAAGTAGATTTCTAATGAGGTTTTAAAATTATATTTTTTGATTCAGCTTTTGAAAACCTCATATTTAATAGAGAACACATTTTAGTGCTATCTGTATGCATTTCCCCAAACATGTGCAGTATATGTAATACTAAATTGTGCAGTTGAGTTGGTTCAGATTCTTAGCAATCCTGTATAAGATTTTGAGATGGTAAACCTTTACGGAAGTAGAAAATGTCATCTTTCTTCCGAATATTAAGTAGATAAATTTGATGGCTGCTGCTACTGGTGTTATTAGTGACATGCCATCGAGTCAGTTCTGACTCATCGTGACCTTGTATAGAGTTTCCGAGGCTGTAAATCTTTACAGGAACAGAAAACTTCATCTTCCTCCCTAAAAGTAAATAGACCTATTGGATAGACAATCTAGGTAAAATCCCCTGTGCAATGCCTGGCACTTAATAGGAGCTTGATATAAGTTAGTTATTTCTTGTTCTCTTGTCCAAACTATTAACTTACAATATAATCGCAACTATATTGTTTTAGTTTTTAGTGCTCCAGAGTCACATAGATAAGAGAAAATGCAGCCCCTTGCTGTAGTTTATCATCATCTCCTTTAGCTTCATTCTGTTGGTGTTTCTCTTTTCTATAAACTCACTTTTGCACTATTGCTAACCAAGGGCACTGGGCCCTAATGACTTGGATCAATATGTGCAAGACCACAGTCCCTTTTGCTGGGTCAAGGACTATAACAACTATGTCTCCTAAATCCCTTTTAAGGACTCCTCATCTCATTCTAAAAATAATCAAAATTGTTTTACTTCAAAGCCATATTCAAGTATTAACCCCAGAGATGGTCATTCATTGTTGTAGGTGGCTTGAAAGGAATCTTGGTTACCTGTAAACTTCTAAACCTATTATTCTTGGCCCTTTGTCAACAGCAAGAGTTTCCCAAGCTCTGGTGGTTATAATGTAGCTACTCTTGTTGCTTAGTTACTATTTCAGGCATCTGTCCAAAATTTCTCTTGACCTGGTTTCCTTGATTCTTCAAGTGGCAGATCCTGGACCTTGAAGTCAATCTACCCCAACAGGTTAGGAATCAAAATGTGCAATGAGTCACCTCTCATCCTGGGTTCCCTGAAGAGCTGGACTGGGAAGTCCCCTCCTTCTATAATGTTTGTCATTTAATTTTATTTGTTTATTCTATGTATTTAACAGGTATTATTTAACACTCATATTGTGCCTACTATTTGCCAGGTATTTTTCTAAGTGCTTTACAATGGTTTACAGCTTTAATCCTCACAGCTACACTATGGCATAGGTACAGTTAGTGGTTTCAGTTTATAATAGGAAAACAGAAGCACAGAGATACTAAATATCTCTCCTTACTTCATCCAGCTAATAAGTGTGGTGTGGTGATGGTTATGCACTGTGGAATCGGTTCTGACTCATAGCGACCCTGTACAGGGTTTCTGAGGCTGTAAATCTTTACAGGAGGAGAAATCTCACCTTTCTCCTGCAGAACAGCTGGTAGTTTCGAACTGCTGACACTGAGGTTAGCAACCCGATTTGTAACCAATAAGTGGCAGAGGCTGTTAGCTGCTATATTGGACCCTGGATATTTAAAGAATGGTTTTTATTTTTCAATTACAACATAATACATTGTATGCTAATAATAATTATTTAAAAATGTTCTCTTTGCATAAAATTTATAAAAATAGAATTCGTTTTGTAATTCTACCATCCCTAAAATTCACTGTTTTGTATTTTGCGTCTCTTAAACTTATGCATGTTTATGATAATATGATTTAAATTTTTCTTTTCCAGCTTCTTCAAAAGTGATTCTATTATTGCTGGACATTTGGGGTTTTGACAGTCTCCTCCATTATAAACAACTCTGCAGAAAATAACTTCTTACAAAAACTTTTGTTTTTCTTAACTTGGATAATTTTCTTAATATGAATTTCTGATGTTAATCAAAGGGTACAATCTTTTCATGGCTCCTGTGCAATGTTTAGTACTTAGCAATTGTTTTCTAATGGACTGTACTAATTACTTTGAGCATTATCATTTAAAAAATTGTTGATAATATATCAAATATCTGATTGTTGTTGTTGTTAAATGCCATCGAGTTGGTGCCAACCCATAGCAACCCTATATAGGGTTTCTGAAGAGCAGCTGGTGAGCTTGAACCACCAACCTTGCAGTTCAAACCAACTTTGCAGTCCAGAGCATTAACTCATAGCACCACATCAGGATTCCAAATACCTGGTGGTGGTGTGCCATGGAGTTGGTTCTGATTCATGGCAACCCTGTATAGGGTTTTTGAGGCTGTAAATCTTTACGGGAGCAGAAAGCCTCATCTTTCTCTTGTGGAACCACTGATAGTTTCAAACTGCTGACCTTGAGCCTAGTAGCCTGACTCATAACCACTACACTACCAGAGCTCCTTAAATATCTAATAGTATCATGTTATTTCTTAACTTATACCATGCATCTTTTGTTTGATGATGCATTATCTGTGTATTATTTATATTATTTCATTTCATCATGTAGCTTTTCATGAACTTAACATCCATGAAGCTATTAATCTCAGTATTTCAACCAAACGTTTCAGTCCTTCCAGTAGTAAACATTGGAGGCCTTTGCTGGCATTTTATCAGATGTATTTGATCCTAAACCAATGCAATGTGTTTTGCATGCTATTTTGAAAGTCTTTTTAAAAAATTGTGGCCAATGCTAAAATTGGGAAGGCTTCATTAAAACGTCTGTGTTCCAGTTACTGCTGAAAAGTAGAGGCTTCAAAACAGGGTCAGTTGCTAGAGCTCAAGTGTAAGTGTAGATGGGCCAAGTGCTGTCCAGGTGACCTCGGCTTCCAGCAGTAGCTGCTGTTCCTTATCTATTTTGACTCATCTTCCCCGTCTGTCTGAGCCTTCCAGGGATCAGTCATCGTCAGAGATCCTCTGACTTTTACAGCAAACATGTTTCTCCTCATTTGCTTTCTAACACTGACCATTAGCACAAGGAGCCCTGGTGGCACAATGTTTACGCATTCAGCTGCTGACTGAAAGGTTGACAGTTCGAGCTCACCCCACGGCTCCTCGGGAAAGATGTAAAGATCTTCTGTAAAGGCTCACAGAAAGGCCGTATAAGGCAGTTCTGCTCTGTCACGTGGAGTCACTATGAATTGGAACTGATATGATGACACCCACAACAACAGCAATCATTTAGCTTAGGTGCATAAAAGGCAGCATCTGGCCACATCTGGTGACAGCACCACACAGTTTTGTAATGGGGTGTTAATTCCTGGCCTACTTTTGCTGTACTTCAAGGTCAGTTTGAACTGCAAAGTCAGCAGTTCAAGCTCACCAGCCACTCCTAGAAAACCCTATATAGGGTCACTATGAGTCAAAACTGATTCAACTGCACTAAACAACAATCCATATCAAAGTTTAAACTATTTTAAAACTTCTAAGGGATTACTAGATGTTCTTTTCCCTGTATTGTGCACAAGTTAGCAACTTTGATGTAGAGCTTAATTTTTCATCCATCCAGGGTGAGAAATCAAAATCAGGTTGAAATCTAAAGTCAAGACTAGAGTGATCCTGATAAATAGAATATTTAGACACTATATGGTCTCTTGCTTGATTAGTTCACAAATTCATGGTATAGAGTTATTTTGTATAAAACTACTGCCACTGATGGGGGAAGAAAAAAGGGGAATCATACTATGTCCACATTAAGAAGAAAAATCATTCCATTTTGGTTGAACTTGGTGACTTTCATTATGTTCTCCACTAAAATCTCTAGCTATCTAATCACCCATAAATGTAAATACACAAAATTTAAATCTGTAATACATATGAAGTTAAGATGCATCAAGAAGAAAAACTATTCAGTGTAATCTCATAATTCATAATTATGTTCTTGAAGCCCCTAAGGGAGTTCTAAGTGTTTCTATAAGGAATATGGAGAGAGACTAATTTGAGAGAACCTTGAGGATAGTCTTGATGTAGCATTGTAGGATAGGCACTGGACAGCTAGCCACAAGGTTGACAGTTCAAATCCACCAGCTGGAAACTCTCTACAGGGTCACTATGAGTTGGGACTGGCTCAATAGCATTTGACAACAAGAGATGATAGTCTTTTTTTTTTTTTTTTGACCCTGTCACCCTTCCCTTTTCTCTGTTAAACAATAATTTATGTGGCATACCTCAGCTAGTCTTATGTCCTATTACGCTGCTTAGATCTTTCATACTGCTGCATGTATTTCTATGTTGTTGTTGTGATGTGCCGTGGAGTCGGTTCTGACTCATTGTGACCCTGTACAGGGTTTCTGAGGCTGTAAATCTTTACGGGAGCAGAAAGCCTCATCTTTCTCCCACGGAACAGCTGGTATTTTCGAACTGCTGCCCTTGCGGTCCGCAGCCCGATTCGTAACCACTACGCTACCAGAGCTCCCTCCAATACTATGGTTCTATACTACCAGGTAAACTCATGGCCACTGAGGACATTCAGCCTCATAGTGACCTTAGGGGACTGAGAAGAAGGGTACGTCAGAGTTTTCAAGGCTGTAATCTTTACTGAAGCAGACTGTCACCTTTTTCTCCTTTGCAAAGATGGTTGAATCCAAACCACTTGCTTTCAGGCAGCAGCCGAGCTCTACACCACTGACTCAATGACACCTAACAACAACAACAACAGAATGGATACATTCAGAAAAAGCAGAATTTCCTGCAGATCATTCTAACGTTATATCATATAAAAGTATGTCATTGAAGTCCAAGTATGTGAACTTTCTAGAATTTGTGTTTCCTGCTTTTCAGCAGTGTTGACCTCATTCTGGTGGTGGTGGTGGTGGTTGTATGTCGTCAAGTTGGTTCCGGCTCATAGTGATTCCGTATAGGGTGTCTGAGGTTGTAAATCTTTACAGGCGTAGAAAGCCTCATCTTTCTCCTGTGGAGTGACTTGTAGATTCGAACTGCTGACCTTAAGATTAAGAGTCCAATTTGTAACCCACTACGCTACCAGGGCTCTCCTGGCCTCATTCTAGACATCGTTACTTCAAATGGACTCATTGAAACAGAGGCAATAACAGTAAAAACGGTTCAACTTTTTTTTTTTTTTTTAATCATTTCCTTTTACTCAATCCTAGGCAATAGCTTTCCTTTCACCTGAAGACCTCTTGAAGGGAGAAATTGAAGACTCACTGGAGAAGGTGCAGGTTGCCATTCACAACTTAAAGACTTTAAAAAACTCTTTTTTCACCTATCAAAATGGTCTGGCATGCTATTTCAAAGGAAACAAAGAGCTGAAACCTTGGGATTTCCAGTCTCACCTAGTGTTTTCCAGATTTGACAACTTTCTCTGCCGTTTAATGAAAATAGAGGTATTTGTTTACTGACTTGTGATACGTTCCTAATGTAATTGCTTTCCAAAATCCTTCTTCACCTTTTCACATGTTTCAGGGAATACTTTATTAGGTAGGTAGGAAGTCATTTTTCTTAGTAATTCCAACAGGGTCACTAAGCCAATACTATAAGGAGAGTTTAAGAAAAGCTTTGATTTGACCTCTGTGATTCTGTCTTGATTCTATATTATGATGCTGCATTTAAATGGATGTCTCTGGGTACTAGTGTCCCTGGACATACAACTTACTCTGTTCCTGGAAGACAATTGCGAATCTGCCAGCTGTAAATGAATCTCTTTTTTCCCTTATGTTTCAAAATTGGAATTTCCTACCTGAAAACCTATTTGATAACATAAAGCATTACACAATCTTTTTGCACATAAATATATACCATACAACTATTAAAACTACTCATGAGAGTAAAAAAAGAACATGAAATTGAATATGTACTCTGTATCAATACTATAAATATGCCTAAAAGGAACAAACATTGATTTAAAACAAACACCCACATATACACACACATAGATGTTTGTTCTCTTTCTTTCATGGAATAAACTGGCTAAGGTGGTTTTTATTTTGTTTTGTTTTTAAGTTTGAGCTGATAATACTGCCTTTTTAAAGGTTTTTGTAAAGGTCTTCTTAGTAAGCTTGGGATTTTTCATTGATATACTATTTATTGAATTTCATTCAAAACAGGAGCTTTATGTTTTGAAAGCTGGCATTACTCTTTAATTAGCCTGAATGCCTCTAAAAGTCTCTGAAAGCTAAATACCTAAGCAAGAACAATCTGCATTGCATGTTTATAACAGTTTCTTGAGATCTTCCTTTTAACAAAGGAGCAGATGCACTGTGAAGTCTAGTCAGCTGAATCTGAGTTTGGGATAGTATATGAGGATCTTGTGTGTGATTATTGTTGTTAAGTGTCGTCGTGTCGGCTCTGACTCAGAGCGAGCCTGTATAGGGTTTCTGAGGAGTGACTGGTGAGCTTGACCCACCGACCTTGTGGTTCAAATTAACATTGCATCTAGTGCTTTATCCACAGCACCATACCAGGCTTTCCATATGTGATTAGTAGGATTTAAATTGGGGAGTCATATCTCTCACTATCAAAAGTTAGGAGTTGCTTAACTGACAGAATTTTCAGTAAATCTGAAAATGGGAGTGTACTGTTAGCAACTAGCAGTTATTTTGGTCAGTGAAATCATTAATATTTTCATTCCTATGAATGCCCATTAGCTCACAGTTTTTAAAGCTTGAAAATGTCCTGTCTTTGAAACTCTGAAATGTCCTTTTACTGATCAATTTGGTAAGATCTTTACTTTATTTTTACAAAGGATATATTTGTCACCATATTGGAATTTGAAAAGCTGGAAAGACTTGAATTTGGTGGTACCCGAGGAGCAATTTTAAATGACCAAATCTTCGAGATGAATGAAGAGTTCCTGGATCTTTGTAAAGTTTTTAAACAGAGCACGTATGACCCATTTGATTACCATAACACGGTAATATTTGCATTTTTACTTTATAGAACTCTATCAGTTTAAAGGTGAACAGAACCATAGGTCATAGTGATGACATGTACCATCCAGTCCAACTTCTGAGACCTACAGAGATTAAATGACTTGACTGAAGTGTTTTGGCTACTTAATAGTTGATCGGGGAACCACAACTTGAGTTCTTGCATTTCTAATTAAGAACTGTCTGTAATACAACAATGGACCTCAGTCAAGATTCGTTTCTTGTTTATGCCTGTTGAAAAGGAACTTGCTATCTTAGTTCATTTTTACCTGATTATCTGATATCCATGTAATTTGTGTTTTGTTTTAGCCTTTTCCCGAATGACTTGAATTTTGGGAGGTCTATTTGAACATTGAGTTTTATCTTCATCATTGTTACAATGCATGATGTTGCTGATATTTTTTATTTCCATTCTTTAGAGCTATTTATAATTTCATATTTACAACTTCAAAAAGCAGAGGCAAGCTTCCAGATCTAAGCTACTTCTGTTGTCTGTTGCTTCTAGCATGTTAGTAGCCAAGGAACTACCTGTGAGCATTCCTGCAGCTCTTTTTAGTAGGTTGGCAAAAACAACAACACTAGGGGACAAAGGATGAAAATGTAGCTCTTGTACTCATTGCTTTGTAAGGAATGTGAATTTCTTCCCTGCTGTGGTTATATAATTGGCCAAATAACCTATTTGTTTTTGAAATGTTAGGTTTATAACTTAAATATATACAGTTGCTGCTAACTGCAATTTATGGTGATCCTGTGTGTGTCAGAGTAGAACTGTGCTCCTGAGGGTTTGAGTAGCTGAATATTTAGAGGTAGGTCACCAGAACTTTCTTCCAAGGTGTCTCTGACTGAACTCAAACTTCCAAGTTTTGCTTAGCTGCTGAGCACTTAACCACCTAGGGCCTCCTTAGCAAACTTAATCCCTCTGAATTGTAATCAGCTCTTGGGAAATGGAGTTAATGATTAATGCTAAAGTCGCCCTTTTAAACTAACACCCTGTCATTTGTGCATAAGTAGGAAGAGCTTAGGGCCAGGGTGATGAATAACCTGAATTCATCCCCAGAGTCTTGTAAAATGTCTGGTACTTGGCAGACATTCAACAAATGTATGTTGAATGATATTCTTGGGGGAGACTGTGGTCTAACCATCAAGATAAAAGTTGTGGACAATGCCATACATGAGTCTCTTGGGTGCATTTGAGTAGCAGGGGACTTGATATCCTCATGTCCACAAACTCAGGAGTAGTTACGAGTGCCTGGTTAGATAGAGTGTCCAAGCTTAGCTAATGCCACCGTGTTATCAGTCCCAGATGCCACTGAGCTCATTCCAACTCATTAACAACTCCATTGTGTTCAAAATGGAATGGTACTCATAGGGTTTTGTGTATGTGTGTGTGTAAACCTTTTCTTGACTTTTTACAGTGTGTTATGGATAACATGGAGGACATTATGTGAAGTCAGATTTTATCCATGTTATGAGGTGTTTCATAGACTGATCAATATTTTAGAACATTACATAGTATTTTGTTGTGTATGTGTACCATAGTTTATTCATCCCCTGAGGAGCACTTAGGCTGTTTCCATCTTTTTGATATTGTGAATAGTAGTAATGCTACAGTGAGTACAGTGAGTATGGTCATATACCTACACAGATTACTGGATCATATGGTATTTCTATTTTTAACTTAAAAAAAATTATTGTGAATTGAGTGAAGGTTTACAGAATCGATCATCAGTTTTACATTCAACAAACCATACACTTTGCTTCACCTCATTGTTGCATTTACCTTTATTGGAGTCCTGATGTGGCACTATGGATTAATGCGCCAGACTGCAAAGTCGTTTGAACTGCAAGGTCGGCAGTTCAAGCTCATCAACTGCTCCTCAGAAACCCTATACAGGGTCGCTATGGGTCAGAATTGACTCGGTGGCACTTCACAACAATAACAAACCTTTATTTACCTTATCTATTGCATTCCTCTCTGTGTCTCATGATACCTTTATTCTTCCTTTCCTAGCCTCTCTGTTGTATATCACCTGCCCTGTCGCCTATGTTAACATGTGTCTACCCTCTAGTTCATGAATAATTTTCCCTCCCCATCCCTGCCTAACCATCGGAGATTGTTTCTTTAATCAAGAATACCTTTACATTAACTTTTTACAACATTGGTGTAATAACCTTGTTTGTCCGTATGTGATTGACTAATTTCACTCAGTATAATGTCCTCCAGGTTCAACCATGCTGTGAAATATTCCAAAGATTCATAATTATTCTTCAACATTGTTTAGTATTCCACTGTGTGTATGTACCAATGTTTAACCATTCTGTTGATGGGCATTGAGGCTGTCTCCATCTTTTTGATATATCTATCCCTTGTAGGCAACATATTGAGACATCCTGTTAGTCCATTTTGCTGTTTATGTCTCTTGACTGGTACATTTAATTCATTTACATTTAGTGTAATTATTAATAGATATGAATTGATTATTGCCACTTTTCTGTGTGTTTTTTTGTGTTTCTTTGTTCCACATAATTTTTTTATGTTGATTTTTGTCTGTAGGTTTTTTCATTTTTATTTCTGTTGTGTTAATGTTACTAAATCATTCTGATTTTCCTCTTTTTTTATTTTGATGTGCAGGTATATTATTTTTCTTTGTGGTTATCATGTAATTTATTAATTTTCCCCTGCATAAAACAGGGGAAAATTAATTTTATGTTTTCTCTGGAAACCTACTTGACTTTCTTGCCATTTGAAAGTTCTGTACCTGTTCCTTCTTTTTGACTTATAGTTGACTTCATTATGCATTAATATGCCTGGTCCCTATTTTCCATCTTGTAGGTTTGTATTACTTTAAATATTTCTGTATCTGGATTGAATTCTAGGTGGTGTTGTCATGAATGTTGTTGATTCTCACTTCACAGAACACCTTTTGCATTTTTGTAATATTTTTAACTTCTTAATGACCTTTTTTAAAATTAAGATTCCCATATCTTTCTTCCCAGGTAACTCTGGGTGAACTTGAACCTTCATCCTTTTGGTTAGCAGCCAAGCATGTAAAATGTTTGTACTATATTGCGACCTACCTGGGCAATGCCCCAAATCCTGATTTGACCCCATTTCCAATCAATGTCTGCATACTCACAAATCTGTTAGCATAGAACACTCATTTGCTTCTTCCATAAATGAAAAGACTTCCAAAAAATTCATGGAAAAATGGAATTACAAGGTAATAGAATTTTTCCATGAACTTTTTGAACCCCCCCCCCCATATGTCTGTTTATTTAATATTTATTTAGAGATTTTAGGGGTCCCATTTTACTTTGAGTCTTGGTGTGGAGCTGTGGGTTAATGCACCAGACTGCCAAGCCGTTTGAGCTACAAGGTCAGTGGTGCAAGCTCACCAGCTGTGGGTTGGAACGGACTTCAATGGCACTTAACAGCAAGAAAAACAACAACATTTTACTTTGAAAAGTTGATGCCCAAGGCTTAGTTCTGATCAGTAGGTCTAGTTGGAGACCTGCCCTTGAAGCTTCCCATCATATGCCTTACATAGTCAACTGTCTTACCTTAGAAGAGAATCTAGATGATCCTTGAGTTTGGCCATTCCTTAAAAATTAAAACATGAGTTAACCAAAAGTTCTCTTAGTTGACATACTTATGTTGAAGAAAATGTTTGCTTTTTTATTTAATGTTGAATATTACAGTTACTATATGTTTATGCTTAATAAGCTGTTCATTTTGGTGGTGTTTAGTTTATTATGCTTGGTTTTGTGATGAAATTCAGTTGGAATTTTTATGAAACAATATTTTAAGGAACAAATTTCAGCCTAGGAATATATTCACACAAATGTACATCCACATGTTCACCTTAAATTCTTCCCATCCTGCTGTATGCATCCTCTTGTACTCCTCGGCTTCTCAGGGAATGCACACTAGTGCTTACATAATGGCTAAGTTTTCATGAACAGCTTTGGTGCAGAAATAGTTAAAATATGTCCCAGTAAATTAAAGAAAGAATCACTTAACTTTGTATTTAAAATTTTAAACGCTCCAAAAAGAAGTATCCACACTCTGACAGTTTCACTAGAAAATTATACCAAACATTTAAAAAGAATTGACAGCTATTAAAAGCAATTTCTGTCAGTTAGTTGAAGAGAAGGGAATACTGTAAGAAATTCATATTACCCTGATACCAAGACCAAAGGACAGTACTAAAAAAGAAAACTTCAGATCAGTATCCCTCATGAATAATAGATGCAAAATTCCTTAACAAATTATTAGCAACTAGACTCCAGTAATATATTAAAAAAAAAAAAAACTCTGCCCCATAACTGGGTGTGGGTTTTTTTTCCAGGGATGCGAGGCTGATACAGTATTTGAAAATCAATCCTGTAATCCACGATATTAACAGGCTAAAGAATCCCATGATTATGTTAAGAAATATAGGAAAAGAATTTATCAAATTCAATACCTGTTATTCATTAAAAACAAACAAAAACTCTCCCAAAAGTGATGCAGTATGTAAGTGTTGACCTGCTCACCACAGGCCAGTGAGTCAAAGCCCCCATCATGATTGTGCAGGAGAAAGATGAGGCTGCATGCTTTCCTAAAGATTTTGTCTTAGAAACCCCAAGGAGCAGTTCTACTGTGTGAATCAGAATCAACTCAGTGGCAGAGGGTTGAGCATCAGCTTGGTACATCATGTCTACCAAAAGCCTACAGCTAGCATTATACTTAGTGATGGAAGATTTCCCAATCTCATGCACATAGCATATATCCAGCTACCTACTCAGCATCTGTGGAATCCTGATGTAACACTGTGGATAAGCACTGGATTACAAAGTCATTTTGAATCACAGGATTGGCAGTTCAAATTCACCAGCGGCTCCTTGGAAAACCCTCTTGTTGTTGTTGTTATGTGCCGTGGAGTCAGTTCCGACCCAGAGCGACCCTGTACAGGGTTTCTGAGGCTGTAAATCTTTACGGGAGCAGAAAGCCTCATCTTTCTCCCATGGAACAGCTGGTAGTTTCAAACTCCTGAACTTGTGGTTCGTAGCCTGATTCGTAACCACTACACTACCAGAGTTCCATCTACAGGGTTGCTATTAGCTCAAGGGCACTTACCAACACCACCACTCAGCATCTCTACTTAGATTTTGAATAGATTTCTCATAATTAACATCCAAAATGGAATCCCTGATTTTTCTCTCCCCTCAATCCTATTCCTCTTTGCCTTTTCCAGGTCACTGAAGGGCACAGGTAGTGGGCTTCTTACAGCAAAAAACTACTGGAACATCTGGGATCTTTTTGTTTTCACAACAAACATTAGATCTGTCAGATATACTCTGAAAATAAATCCAGAATTGGATGCCTTCTCATATCTGAGTCAGCCTGCCTTGGTCTCTGATGTGGCTATTACTACATTTGTCTCTGATCTGAACTCTTTGCCCTGAGTGCTCCTTATAGATCTAAGCTGGAAATGACATTTCTCTAATCAAAACCCGTCAATGGCTTCTAGGTCACTAGACAAGGCAGTTTTCAGAATATATGGACATTTTAATAGTGATATTTGAGTAATAGCATCCCATTATTTATTCTCAATAAATATTTATATAGATACAGCTGTGTTCTGGGTACCCCATTAAATATTGGTCGTGTAGCTTTGAAAAGAAAAACCTGACCACTATGCTCCTGAGCTTAAAGCTCAGTGGAGAAAACAAATAGGTGATTCTCTGCTAAGTGCTGACATGACAAATGCTACGAGGAAGGATCCCTCCCAGATGAGGTGATAAGTAAATGGAGAACTGAAGGATACATTTGTTAAGTGCTGTGGAGTCAGTTCCGACTTATAGTGACCCTGTATGGGGTTTCTGAGGAGCGGCTGGTGAGGCGCTGCTCACCAACTTTGCAGTTCAAACAAACCTTGCAGTCCAGTGCATTAACACACAATGTCACAGAAGAATAGAGATGAATTAAGTGGAGAGCGGATTCCTGGTGCGGTGCAATAGCATCAGCGCTGGACTGAGAACCACAAGGTCACCAGTTCAATCCCACCAGCTGCTCCTTGGAAACCCTATACAGGATCACTGTGAGTCAAAACTGACTGGGTGTGTGCCGTGGAGTTGGTTCTGACTTATAGCAACTCTGTTGTCGAGTTTCCCTGGCTGTAAATCTTTACAAGATCAGAAACACTCATTTTCCTCCTGTGGTACAGCAGATAGATTCGAATTACTGACCTGGAGGTTAGCAGCCCAGTTTCGTAATCCACAACAAGCCGAGAGTAGATAAAATAAAAGGGAGGGTTTAGAAGAAAATTTCATTCTGCAACAGAAGAAATGTGATTAGGCAGGTGTGACTAGATCCTAGTGTGTGGAAAGGGAGACGTGGAAGAATAGTTGGGATGCATTTCATGCAGGACTTCAAAGATTTTGCTGAAACTCTTGACTGTTAATCTAGGAATATTGAGGGGGCCTTTGAGGGTTATGAGAAAGAGCAGCATGATAAGACTTGTATTTTAGAGAGATGATTTAGGCTGCAGCGGAGAGAATGAGTCAGAGGGAAGAGGCAAGAAGGGTAAAGTTAATAGAGACATACATGAGCAGTCAGTAGTGGTGATCAGAAGCTGAGCAATGACCACAGAGATGGAGAATTGTGGGCATCTTCAAGAGACAGGAGGTAAGATCGATAGCACACGACAGAGAAAGGAGTCAAAGAAGTTGCCAAGTTTCTCTTAGAGGGAGTCCGAAGAGGATGGGCTTTATATTTTTTATTGTGGTAAATATACAAGTAACAAAGCACTTATTATTTCCAATTTCCACATACATAGTTCAGTGACATTACTTGTGTTCAATCCTCACCCTTAACCATTCCCAAATTTTCTGTTGCTCTTGGCACAAGGTCAGGAGAGGAGCAGCTTTCTTCAAATCCTGAGTTCAGATTCATATGTTTGAATTCCTTGTGGGATCTCCCAGGGAAGAAGTCTCATTTGAAGTTCTTATTTCAGGTTTCAGGAGTTAGTGAGTGAGAGCAAGCTACCAGGGAAGGAGACTGGCATTTTTCTCTCCCTGACTTACTACTTACTTACTAAGCATTCAAGTAATGTTTGTGGATCCTAAGTTGTATGTTCTTGGTTGCCACACCAAAAGGAAGGATACGTTAGGCTTGTTAAAACTTGTTGAGAAGTTTTGTTTACTTTAAAAAGTCAGTGACCCTTGAATGAAGAGACTATTTGGCTTTAATTCAGGAGAAATGGAGACTTCCTCTTGATGCTAAATATAGCATTGTGGCATATGATCTATGATGCTTTGGAACTTTGTAGTACTCTGTATTTGGGGGAGTATGTTAAGAGTCCATATAATGTGGGTCCCTACTTAGAAACAGCATCATAGTTAGGAATATGGGCTTTGGAACTAGGTTGTCTGGTTTTAAATCCTGGCCCTCCCTTTCACCCATTGTGATCCTGGGCAATTATTTGACTTCTCTGAATTTGTTTTCTCAGTTACTTATTTGGAGAAAATGTTATTACCTACATTACATGTTGGGGGCATTGGTAGATGAGTGGTAGAGTTTTCACCTTTCATGCTGGAGACGTGAGTACAATCCTGACCAATGTAGCTTATGTGCAGGTCAGTGAACATGCAGTGAAGACTTGCATGTTGCCATGATGCTAAAAAGAGGTCAGCAGAGTGTCCAGACTATGACAAATTAGGAGGAACGGTCTGGTGATCTACTTCTGAAATCAGTCAGTAAAAACCCTATGAATCAGTGGTCTGACCCACAACCAGTCATGAGGATAGTGCAGAATTAGACAGCATTTCATTCCATTGTCCATGGACTGAGTTAAAAATGTAAAGCATTTAAAATAGAACTAAATGGTTGCTATCCATCATCACTATTATTACTGTCATTATTGTTATCATTAATTGTTGGAGACTTTGTTGTTGTGAGCTGTCGAGTCAGTTACGGTGCATAGAGACCTTGACAGGGCTGGTGGATTTGAATCACTGACCTTGTGGTTAGCAGTCCACACCAGGGCTCAAGACTTAGATTAAGGGTTAAAACACAAGATTTTTTCAGAGTGTATCTGTGACTTGTGTTCCTCGGGAGGCTTGACTGCCAAGCACCAAAGTGTTTCTGAATTTCTGGGACTTGTTCACTAAAGGCTGTGAACGTGATAGTTATTCTTTCACGGTTTCATTCTTTCTAATTATGGGAGTGGGTGGAGATGTATTAGGAGGAAACTGGAGGTTGTAAACGGCATATTAATAAGAATCTTGGAAAATGTCAGAGTATTTGGTTTCTCTGTTTTTCTAATGATGATTTCTTACAGATCTGTGGATTTTAGTTCTCACCAGAAGAAATAGTATTCCCATGTAGGTTTTCTGCCTCAGGAAAAACAAAATTTATATTTAATCCTAAATAGATATACTAAAGTCTTAATGAGGGTAGGTTTTCTAGTTTTTGAAAACTTGTTTTTTTTTTTTTCCTTTATAAACAAAATGGATTAGGAGGAGGAGGGCTGAGTTACTGACATGTAAGCTTAGGAACCAAAGCTCTGACATTATGTATGAGGTCTGAGTCATTGAGGATTCTGAAAGCTTAGGCAAGCAGTGCTAGGCACAATGTGCTCCCTTTAGGAGATGCCACTTGAGACTTCAGTCAAGTATAGCTCTTTGTAGACCCTCCCTGGAAACCTGTGGTTTTAAAAAAAATTTCATGTAAAGAAAATTCATGTGGATGTGATTAATATTTTAACCATTGGATTCTTTCCCATAAATTAATATTTTGTCTGTGTTTTACAGGAATTTGAAAGTGATTATGTTGTGTTTAAATCCAGAATTTTGGATTTTGACAGAAGACTTGGAACAATTCTATGTGAAGGTTTCTTTAACTGCAATGGTTTAGAAGCTGTGTTTAAGGTTAGCTATAAGAGGGAAAAAAACAATCAAAAAATGTTTCACTAATGAATAATTTTGACTGTTAGATGAAAAAGGTGGATACATTCCTTTGTGATCCAGGTGAAGCATTAACTAGTCACATTCTCTGCAAGTTCCACTCACTCCATAATATACTTCAATATTGCACTAATGAGGAATGATGCTACATTGAACCCTAACTATTGGTCTTTTCTTGTATTCATATTGATTTAGCTCTCAGTACCTTTAAAGCAAATTTGACATCATTGGTGAGATATTAATTCAGAATTTTGTCTCTTTATATATGTCAGGTTCACATATTGTTTACCTATGATGAGCTCACTTGCCAATTTTATTACTCTGCCTGGAACAAATAGCAATTTTTACATAGACCGCCCTGGATTTGTAACAGAACTTCATTCTAACAACTCTGCCTTAACTGGGTTCTGACATAAGTTAAAAACTTAATTTTTCTTTTTCAGTTTTGATTATTACTGCCTTTTATTAACAGTATTTCTTTTATTTTCATTGTTTATACAACACAACATTTGCCATTTCAACCGTTGTGACATGCGCAACCCAGCCACACTAACCCCACTCCCCATGGTACATCTATCACCACAAGTTCTTTTTTCTTCATGCTCTCTCCTCTTTTTCCCCTTCTTTCCATTCCTTTTTTTTTTTTTAATTTAAAGGAAAGTTCCCAATGGTTTTTCCTAATGAGAAAATAAATATATGTGTTCTCCCTCCCAGTACATTAAAAAACAAAAAGAAAAACAACACAAACAAGAAAGCAATTTCTTTCTGCATCTTTTTTCCTTCCTTTTCTTTCTAACTGCCTTTTTCATCACTCAAGGTATCAAGTGTATATACTCTAATTGAATAATTCCCCTTTCCCTCCCACTCCTGGTAAACATCATAGAATTTTTATTATAGAATGCAAACCTTTTCTCAACTTTTTACAGTAGTGGTCTCTTACAATATCTGTCCCTTTGTGATGGACTAATTTCACTCAGCACAGCGTCCTCCAGGTTCCTCCATGTTCTGCAGAGTTCTGTAGAACATCAGCATTCTTCAGGGTTGCATAATATTACATTGTGTGTATGTACCAAAGTGTGCATGTACCAAATATTATGTACCAAAGTGCATAATATACCAAATATTTGTGTGTTTTTATAAACCTGATCCTTATTTGTCTTTCTGCATTGGGAACATTACATAGAAAGTTACAAATATAATACATACATTAAAAATATACAGATTATAAAATGTACTCCAGTGATAGAGAAGAGTTAGACAGCATTGGTATTTTGTCGGTTGTGGTAATAACTGTATTTGTGGAAGGTTCTAGATCATCTGGATTATCTCTGGAAATTGGGATGAGATTTCTAGTAAGAAAATTAGTGAGAGTTGTCTTTATGATACTTTTCTTTTTCTCTCATTTATTTCGTGTTGATATTTCACTGTTTATGGAATCTGCCTCTCAACTTTAGCAAAGCAGTCAGCGCATATGCCCATGTTTTCAAGCAACTGAAGCATTGATTTCATTTAGAAAAAAACTCTAGCTAATCATTTCCTGTAAAAAAAAGTCAACTTTTTCTTTTTCCTCATTATTTCTTATCCAGCATTTCTTTCATCTTCAAAATCTGTTCAGTCCTGATCTGTTGATTCCCCCTTTTCATAATCTGTGAGTTGTCCCACATCGTAATATAAAGTTCTAAATTCAGCGTTGTTGCTATATGGATGCTTTTCCACCAATCTCCTCCATCATATTATTCTTGTCAAATGCTTGGATTATGTTCATATAACTCAGCAATTTCCCCCACACCCCACTCAGGGGCATGCAGTGTTCCAAATACACTGGTGGTTGTAAGTGCCAGTGGTCATTAATAGAAATTGGAGATTACCTACTGTATTTCATCAGGCATAAGCCACTATTGATCACTGAACACATTATGTGTCAGTAAGGAAAAAACAAAAGCTGCCAAATTATTATTAAAATGTATTTTGTTGTGTCATTAAGTGTCATCGAGTCAGCTCTGACTCATAGCAACCCTGTATAGGGTTTCCAAAGCTTAAATCTTTGTGTGAGCAGAAGGTCTCATCTTTCTCCTGATTATAACGCACAATGGATTCCAATTTCAGAAATGTTACAACACGGAACTTTTAGACGATGTAATGCAGGACATGTGTATTAAGAACTGCATAAATGCAAAGCATAATCCCCTTAAAGGGAAACCTTAATACGGGGAAAGTTGTTGTTGTTGGTAAGTGCCGTTGACTTGGTTCTGACTCATAACAACCCTGTATAGGGTTTCTAAGGAGTGGCTGCTGAGTTTAAACCACTGACCTCGTGATTCAAACAAACTTGTGGTCCAGTACTTAACCTACAGTGCTACACCAGGACTCCTAATATGGGGAATAGGGGTGTCTAGAGGGAAACCTTATACTATGGGAAATGGGGTGTCATGTAAAACTCTCTTGCCAAAAAGGATAAGTGCAAGTGTAAATTAGCACCTGTTGTTGCTGTTGCTAAGTGCTATGTTGTTGTTGTTTGTTGTTAAGTGCCGTGGAGTTGATTCCAACCCATAGCAACCCTGTATAGGGTTTCCAAGGAGCAGCTGGTGAGCTTGAACCACTGATGTTGCAGTTCAAATGACTTTGCAGTCTGATGCATTAGCCCACAGCGCCACACCAGGACTCCATGGTGCCAAGTGCCATGGTGATCCTCAAAAGAGGAATAATGGCACAATTTGTCCAAAATGACTGAGCAAGAGAATATAGCAGACACAGACTTTATAGTAGGTATTTGTTCACTTCTGACCTTCAAATTTAGATGAGTTGGTTGGACAATGGAAAAGGCAGATGTGTGCTCTAGCCTAAGTCAATCGTTTTAACATGAAGAAATTATTTTTGAGTTCTAAGAACTCAACTAAATCTTCATGATGTTAGCGAAAACACAAAGGAGTTTAAAAAGATTGCGAAAAACTTCCATTATCTTTTGAATTAATTTATTCAATGTTTTAAATGTATTTTTAAAGTTTTTTTCATTGCCTTCCCTGTCATCCATTTTAATACGTGTCCATTATTTTTCAATTCCATTTTAACACAAACTTTTTGAATCACCCTCAAATATTACCTGTTGTTTTAAAATAAAATCACATATAATCCCACTTCTCAGAAATTGCTATTAACGTTTTCTACTCCCAGTATTATTTATTTGAATTAATACATGTACACATTCCTTTTTGACAAAAGTAACATCATATTCTTACACTCTTCGTAAATTTGTCCACTTAGCAATAGAATGTGGTTGAATTGGCCCCAAAGACATAGTTAGATTTATATTTTAGTTTCTGTTCTTTTTTACGATGTCACTGTTTCCTTAAGTGAATATAGCATATGGAAATGTTTATAGTCAATTTTTTTTTTTAAATGAAACTAAAATTTGGAGGTACCTAAAGGAGCTCTGGTAGTGTAGTGGTTACGAATTGGGCTGCAAACTGCAAGGTCAGTTTTGCAACTGCCAGCTCTTCCGTGGAAGAAAGATGAGGCTTTCTGCTCCCATAAAGATTTGCAGCCTCGGAAACCCTGTACAGGGTCGCTATGAGTCGGAATCGACTCCACGGCACATAAAAACAACAACACAGTGGCACTGAGGAATTCTGAAGCATAGTGGGTTATGTGTTGGGCCGCTAATCACAAGATCAGAAGTTTGAAACCATCAGTCATTTTGTGGGAGACAGAGGAAGCTTTCTGCTCCTATAAAGATTTATAGCTGGTATCGTAGTGGTTACGAATTGGGTTGCTAACCTCAAGGCGGGCAATTCGAAAATACCAGCTGTTCTGCAGGAGAAACATGAGGCTTTCTGCTCCTGTAAAGATTTATAGCCTCGGAAACCCTGTACAGGGTCGTTACGAGTCAGAACCGACTCCACAATACTTAATAACAATAAAAACAAACCCTATGGAGGATTGCTGTGAGTCAGAATTGACTTAATGCCAGTGGATTTTGGTTTTGTGATGACACTGTAGTTAGGTATTGGGCTGCTTACTGCACGGTTGACTGTTTAAACCCACCAGAAAAATCCATGGGGGAAAGATGAGGCTATCTTCTCCCATAAAGAGTTACATGCTCTAAAGAGAACCCCTACGTAGAACTACTATGAATTGGAGCTGATTTGATCCAGTATGTTTGGTTTGGTTTTGAATTATTTCCATAAGATAAAAAACAAAGTGATTTGCTTAGCCACACAGCAAAGCCTTGGTAAACAGCTCTTTAACTCCCATGGATATACTTAGTTACTTTGAGGAAACAGTTTTTCTTTTTTTTACAATTTCTTCAACAATATGAATTTTTTTAGAAGTTTTTACTGTGAATTGAGGGATAGTTTACATCGGTTTTACGCTTATCATCTCATTGCAATGATTACCATCTCCTACGTGCATCATCATTCAACATATTTGCTTCTGTTTCCTTTGTTAGTTTTTGTTTTGTTTTGTTTTGTTTGGGGGGGACAGGTATGTACACAAAACACTCAGGAATATATAATCATTTAAACAATCAAAGGACACATTTTGCGAGCCTGCCTCCTGGTTGCCAGTACACAGCCTTTCTCTTTCCATGAGTCTCGAGTCCTCAGCTGCTCTATCTCTCAATGTCATCATCTCTGCCTCCACCTCTGGTGTCTCTGCTTCTCTGGGTTGTTGTTGTCAGGTGCCATCTCTGGGTAGGGTCCCACATTCCACTCATGCTCTTCTCCCTTGATAGTCCTAGGGTCCTCTGTTCCTGGAATGGAAGATTAACTCCCCCATTTTTGTTATAAAACTTCCTACCTTTACAGTTGGGACAGTCACAATTAGTCATGATAACAATTACTCACTGTTGAAACACAACAATCTTACCCCATTTCCTTTCACCAAACCCATCTAGACAAGATGAAAACTATTCAGTGGGGATTCTACCTACCCCTGCACACTGAAACTCAACTCCCTCTTGCAAGCTTCTAAGCCAATCGCTTTGTGCCTTTATAGCCCCCTCATTTTTAGGTAGCCAATGCCAGAGACAGCTTTTATATTGTTGTTGCTAAGTGCCTTCAAGTCAGTTCCAACTCATAGTGACCCTGTGTAGGGTTTCTGAGACTGAGTCTTTGCAGGAGCAGAATGCCTTCTCTTTCTCCCACAGAGCAGCTGGTGGTCTCAAACCACCGACCTCATTTCTCAGTCCAGTGTTTATCTTACATCTTTTATATATACATGGAGTCCTGGTGTTGGAAATGTAGGATAAGCACTGGGCCACAAGCTTGATTTGAATTGAAAGGTCAGCACTTCAAACTCACCAGCTGCTCCTCGGAAATACTATACAGGGTCTCTATGAGTTGGAAGTGACTTGACACCATGTAATAGCAATGACAATATATGTATTGTACAGGGTCACTATGAGTCAGAATTGATATAAAGGCGCTTGACAATGTGTGTGTATGTTAAGTGCCATCAAGTCGGTTCTGACTCATAACGAGCCTGTACAGGGTTTCCAAGGAGTGGCTGGTGGGTTTGAACCTCCAACCTTGTGGTTATCAGTGCAGTGCTTATCCTACAGCGTTACGCCAGGACTCTTGCTCATTCATAATTTCTGTCTGTGTGGATTCGTTCAGCCTGTTCCTGAAGACTCTCATTGGCTCAGTGCCTTTGTTTGAGCCAGGATATTGACATCAAATGGATTCTCTGCCAGTGTAGGGGTGGTCCTTGAGACAGGTGACCACTGCTGTGCCAAAGGTCAGTTATGATTTCTGGGTCATGTTGTATGAAGTATAGGGGGGTGGGGGAATCAGGGGCCCTGGGCAGGATAGACATTGTGACTGGTATTCTGGCATAATTACTAATGGAATGGCCTACAGGCTCTGGATCTGGGAGCAGCACAATTACATCTAAAGAATATATACATAGACAATAATTACAAAAATCTTGATTCTGTTCTTATAGCCACATCTTAGGCTGGGTTCTCTAGAGAAGCAAAGCCAATGAAGCTTATATATGTATCTATAAAGAGAGGTGTGTATTAAGGGAATGGCTCACCCAGTTGTAGCCATGAGGAAGTCCCAAGTTGGGCAGAATTCAGGCTGGAGGCTTCTAACTCATGTAGCTGCAGAGCTTATGAACCAAGATGAGCAGGTCAGACGGCAGGCAGGCTGTCAGGTAAGAAGGCAGGCTGTGGGCGATTCCCAGGATCAGCAGGAAATAGAACAGGTCACTGGCTCAACTCCCAAGAACTGATGGTGGGAGGATGAGCCGGATGCAAGATCCAGCCCCAGCAGAGAGCAAACAAGCCTAACTTGAATGTCCAAAATATTGCAAAGAGCCACATCCCTGAGGAAGATTCCCTTTGATTGACTGACTGCTCATCGCTGACCTTATCATAGAGCTATAGTACATTACATCTCGTTATGGGAAGTAACTACATCTCAACTGCCAAACCACTGAGGATCCTGGCTGAGTAAAGTTAACACAAGACTGTATTACATACACAAAGCATTTTCTATACTGTTTCTTGCTGTCTAACAGAACGTAGTGTACGCTGTGGGCAGGGATTGCTGACAGACAGGGATTCATTTCTGATGCCTTTCACTTTATGCCGAGGAAGAGAAACTATAACTAGAATTTGGTTTGCTGGATAAGCACAGGACTACACAGACCTTGTGGTTTGTAGTCCGCCAGCTGCTAGGCTGGAGAAAGATGAGACTTTCTGTTCCTACAAAGATTTAAAAAGTCTTGGAAACTCTATTCAGAGTAGCTGTGAGTTATAAGCTCTTGGGGACACCACCAACAACAACAACGTTTTAAATTTTGAGGCATTGCCAAATACTCCTAGGACTCTAGACAGTTGTTTAATATCTAGTCACAGAAGAAATTTAATGGTGGGAAGAGTGAACTGAGTATTTGTATTAAAAACTGATAGTGGTTAACCTTTCTTTAACTTCGATTTTTATAGCTTTTGACCGTATTTGGGAATTTTCTGGAGAAACCAGTTGTCATGGAAATTTTCAGCCCACATTATAGCACACTAGTGCACATGTTTAATGTAGAGTTGGATACGTGTAAGAATTTGTATAATGAACACACAAAACAGGTAAGTGATAAGGTTGAGTATATCCATAATGTAATTTTTAAAAATATTTCTTTTTAGAGAAGTTTTAGGTTTATAGAAAAATTATATAGAAAGTACAGAGAGCTCCCATATCCATCTCCCTTGTATATTTTTCTCCTATTAACATCCTACCTTAGTGCAGTACATTTGTTTCAACTGATGAACCAACACTGTTATGTTACTGTTAAGTAAAGGTCATAGTTTACAGGAGAGTTCACAATATGTGTTATATAGTCCTATGGGTTTTGACAAATTGATAATGTCATGTATCTACATTATAGTATCGTACAGGATAATTTTGCTGCCTTAAGGATGTTATGTGCTCCCATGATCATGATTTGTTTTTGTGGGGAATGACTATGAACTAGAATTATATTTGATCATATATGAAGATTAGAACTAGGTGCTACAACTTGTATGTTTTCATTTCATTGTATTCCTTAAAAAGCTGGAGAACCTGACTCAGGACTATAAATCTTCTCATAATCAACTGATTATCACATGCATTTCATGTATTTCTACATTAAAAGTATCAAAATGAACAATTGCTACAAGGTTAGAAGGCACTCTTTTGATTACTTTTTCACCAAAACATTCACTTGCAGATTGAACATGGAGATGTAAGTCTTCACAAGAATATGCCGTTTACCTCAGGCAACATCAAGTGGGCCAAAGAGGTTCTTGAACGACTTCAGATGTTCTGGTCAAACTTTACATCTCTTCATTATCTGTAAGCAGTTAGGCTTATTTCATAATAAAATTATTCTTAATGGTACAGTTTTTCTTTCTTCCTTCCTTGCTTGCTTGTTTCCTCCCTCCCTCCCACCGTCCCTCCTTCTTAAGACTCATTACCTACTGAAGCCCTATCGCTGGATGGGCTCACTAAAAGGCATTCATTCCAATGGTTTTAGAATATTTTTAATAGGATCTTTATAACTTCATATGCTTCCAGATTCTTTTTTCTTTTCACGTCTCCTTTTTTCCCCCAGAATGTGTTTATAGATTTTTTTTTTTTTTTTGGTTATTGTTTCTCCTATACTGAATACTCCTTTGATTATGCAGATCTTTGTTTCTTCTTGTAAGCATGTATAACTTGTTGTTCTTGGCATTTAGTAAAATCATTGGCATTCCATTATTTTTCATAACTATATACTTCTTAAAAAACAAAGCCAATTCAGAAGGATTATTTGACCTTTGTTTCTCTTCCTGTTAATACTACATTATCATGTTATATTTTATATATTCTGTTATATATTGTATTGTTGAAAATAAGCTGAAATATAATACATAGAAAAGGATAAAAACCATGTTCCTACAGATTCTTGGAAAGTCCTGATGATGCCTTAGTTTATCAGAACTATGTTGAAATGACAACTTTACTAGAACAATTTCAAACTCGGATCTATGATAAATGGAAAAGTGATGTGGATGAAATCTGTGAGTTCAATCTGAACCAACCTTTGATTAAATACAATGCCACAGATGGTCTTCTCAGTGTCAACTTTGATCCAAAGGTAGGGGTTTGATTCTTTTAAAGATGTTTGACACATGCCATTTTTGTCACCTACATATTGCTGCTGCTTTCAATAACTTAAAATATCAATGTGTGAAAAATAGAACTGTCAATAGCTTCTTATAGGTCTTTGTTTTAGAAAGTTGTTCCCCAGATTCTATATTAACTACTCTTTGCTTATGATTTTGCCTTCTGAGCATTTATTTGCTGGCCCCATCCTCCCTAAGATAGTAAGCTACTTGAGTGTCAAGTTGATATCCTTTTCATCTTTGTATTTCATTTCTAGCTTTGTGTCTGCCACTTGGTTTTTTCGTTGTTGTTAAGTGCCTTCAAGTTAGTTTCAACCCATAGCAACTGTGTATAGAGTTTCTGAGGAGTGTAACACTTAATAAATGTTGTTGTCATTGTTGTTATGTGCCATGGAGTCGGTTCCGTCTCATAGTGACCCTGTACAGGGTTTCCGAGGCTGTAAATCTTTACGGGAGTAGAAAGCCTCATCTTTCTCCTGCAGAACAGCTGGTAGTTTCAAACTGCAGACCTTGAGGTTCGCAGCCCAATTCGTAACCACTCACTGCCAGAGCTCCTTTAGCACTAATTAATAGAATTTTCAGTCTATTACCAGATCATTTCAGTTTCACAGCACATATGTCGGTATAATTAGTTCATTGTGTGGCACTGTAGGATCAGCACTGGACTGCAAACCATAAGGTTGGTAGTTCAAACCCACTAGTTGCTCCTCTGAAACCCTACTCAGGGTTGCTATGAGTCAGAACCACCTTGACAGTACCTAACAACAACAAAGGATACATAGAATGAGAGACATCCTGTTAATACTTCTGATGGAAACAGTCAAAAATTTTGATGTGTTATAATTTCTTTGATCCTTTCTTACAGCAAGTTTGAATATGTTGATGTAATAGGTGGTTTGGTGTCCTGTTGTAGTGCTGTAGGATAAGCACTAGACCACAAGGTCTGTTTGAACCTCAAGGTCAGCGATTCACACTCACCAGCCATTCCTTGGAACCCTTGTACAGGGTTGCAATTAGTCAGAACTGACTCGATGGTGCAACAACAAGAGTAACAACAATTTTTAAAAAATGATGTAAGCTTATAATCCATCTGCTTCAGAGCTTTACAGATCCCCCCTTGGCACTGCAGGGTAAGGTCAATTTGAACTGCAAGGTCGGTTGAACCGCAAGTTTGGTGGTTCAGATTCACCAGCTGCTTCTTGGAAACCTTATACTGGGTTGCTATGAATTGGAATTGATTTCATGCCACTTAACACCACCACCATCATTTCTGATAGGCTAAAAAAATTTAGACATTGGCTATCTATCAACCTACTATATTGAGGAAACAAGGTTGTTCCTTGTTATGTAGAATCCTTTCGTTCCGGCTGGAATTTGAGTCACTGTATTCAGTGGCAAAAGTCTAGTTTATCAAATTTTAGCAATTTGCACTTGTTCTTTCCTCGGTTTGAGTTCTGGTCAACTAGTCATCCAAGCCTAGGTCAAATGGGTATTAGCTACAAGTTTGGGAGTTCACGCACACCTCCCTGCACTTCAGGACAGCTGGCTGCCTCACTCTCAGTCCTAGTACCCAGCAGCTAAGTCAGTGACCATGGCTCAGGAGTCCTCACATCTTCTTAAATTTTAGACTAGCCAACCCTTCCTCTTCTCCCTCTTATCTCAAGGTCAGTGGGTGCCAATGGAACATGGCCAAACTCAGTACCATGTCTTCATTGCTGCATTCCCCCCGCCCCCCTTTCCATTCACAGGCAGACCCAGGTGATCACCAGTGAGCATACTATAATGCTCACAGTTGCCCTTTGAGTTTCAGTGCTAACAGAGGGTTTTCCCTGATGGGGCTAACTTTTCTGCTTTTCTTTCCTTGATACCTCCAAGCAAACAGCTTGCCTGATGCTCAAACAACCAAACAGTGTGCTTGTTTTTCTGTAGGTCTTTCTTTAATAAGAATCTTCAGTTCTCTCATCAGTTCTGGGTTGGTCTGCATGCCTTTTCAAGTAGGAATGTCCCAACTCAGAAGGTTCTGGGTGATGCTCAGGATTCCATCTAAGGAGCCATGCTTTACAAAGGCTTAAGAACCCTATTTCCCTGGGAAAATTCTATTTCCCCTTTTAGCAAGTCCAATCAGTTATAGAACAACAATTTTTTATAAAATGAGTAAGAATTATTGATACCAAAAATAATATTGCTATTCTTGTTGTTAGGTGTCCTTGAGTTGGTTCCAGCCCAAAGTGGCCTTGTACAGAGTTTCCGAGGTTGTAACTTTTTATGAGAGCAGGAAGTCTTATCTTTCTCCTGTGGAGTGACTGGTGGGTTCAAACTGCTGACCTTGTGGTTAGCAGTCCAGTGCTGATCGTACAGCTCCACCAGCAAATGTCCAGGATGACGATTACCTTTATTAAGCAGATCTTTGTATCCCATGATAATTTGTATGTTGTTGTTGTTGTTAAGTGCCGTCGAGTCAGTTCCAACCCAGAGCGACCCTGTACAGGGTTTCTGAGGCTGTAGATCTTTACGGGAGCAGAAAGCCTCATCTTTCTCCCACGGAACAGCTGGTAGTTTTGAACTGCTGACCTTGTAGCTCGCAGACCAATTCATAACCACTACGCTAGCAGTATAGTGAAAAGAAATTTCATGTATTTTCTGATTGTTTATTTTCATAAAATTTTGTTGCTATAATAAAAGTACAGAAACTTTATTAGCAGTTTTATGGTGTGGCACTGTACAATAAGCATTCGAACATAAGGTTGGCCTGAACCCCAAGGTTGGCAGTTCAAAGCCACCAATTGCTCCTTGGAAACCCTATATAGAGTAACTTTAAGTTGGAACTGACTCAGCAATATATGTATTTGGAGTTCTGGCCTAGTACTGCAGGATAAGCACTGGACTGCTAACCACACAATCTGTGATTCAAATCCACCAGCCGCTCCTCAGAAACCATATGCAGGGTAGCTATGAGTCAGAACCGACTCAACAGTACGTAACAACACCAACAACATATCTATTTATGTTTTATGTGTGTATATATGCACACGTGCTAAGGGAGTTAAAAAAAATTCATGGAAAAATTACATAATCATTTAATTCCATTTTCCCACAAACTATTTGAAGCCTTCTCCAACATATTTTAAACATCTTATCTCCAAGTATGGTATCTTGCAAGATAAGAGGCACAAGGTAAGGTTTATTATTTATTTACCTAGTGTGAATGTGCTTCTACAGAAAAGAGCAAGACTAGATGAAAATCTACTTAGAAATTTCTATGAAAAAAATTACTTAAACGTGTGGTTGAATTTTTAGATAGGGTAAAGATGATATCTTTACCAACAATTGCCTAGATATCTTTACCAACAATTGCCTAGAGTAAATGTATCTGTGTTGTTGTTAAGTGCTGTCCAATCGTTTCTGACTCATAAGGATCCTGTATGGGTTTGAGACTTTAAATCTTTGTGGGAGGAGAAAACTGCATCTTTCTCTTGTAATGTATGCATTGTTGTGAAATGCCATCAAGTCAGTTCTGATTCACAGCATAGGAAATGGGAAAGTAAGCCTCCCTGGGTTTGATAACCCTTATCTCACTCATTTCCCTAAGAGCTATACAAAGAATCGTGGTGGTGGACTAGTGGTGTGTCACAGAATTAGTTCCGACTTACTTGTTTTGTTGTTAGATGCCCTTGAGTTGGTTCCGATCCATAGGGACTCTAGTACAACAGCATGAAAAACCACAGGGACCTGCACCATCCCCTCAATCAAGAAGCTTGAGCCCATTGTTGCTGCCACTGCGCAAAGTCATCTTGTTGGGGATCTCCCACTTTTTTTTTTTGCTGTCTCTCCACTTACCAAGCATGATGTCCTTCTCCATGGACTGGTCCCTCATGATAATATGTCCAAAGTATGAGAGATGAAGTCTTGCCATCTTGCCATCTAAGGAGCATTCTGGTTTTACTTCTTCCACCTCACTTTGGAATCGGCACAAATATGGATCTCTCCTAATCAATTGGCCTGATGGCTGTCTTCCAAATTTCTTGACAAACATGAAAGAGTACCTCCAGTGCTGTATCAGATCGTTGAAAGATGCCAATTTGTATTCCTTCAATTCCCGTAGTCTTATTCCTCGCCAATGCTTTCAGCGCACCTTGGACTTTTTCTTTCAGTACCATTGCTTCTTGGTTAGATGGTACCTCTTGAAATGGTTGAACATCAACTTTTTGGTGCACTGTGTATTCCTTCCATTTTCTTTTGATGCTTTCTGCATCATTCAATATTTTGACCAAAGAATCCTTCAGTATTATAAGTCAAGCCTTGAAATTTCTCCTCAGTTCTTTTAGATTGAGAAATGTTGAGCATGTTCTTCCCTTTTGGTTTTCTATCTCCAGGTCTTTGTACATTTCATTATAATACTTCTCAAGATGTCCTTTGAAACTTTCTGTTCAGCTCTTTACCTCTTCATTCTTCCACTTGCCTGCTCACCAGTCCAGAGGTGCTAAAACATCATAGTCTTTTCTGACATTCCTTTTGGTCTTTTCTTTCTTCTTGTCTTCTTAAAGATCTTTGGTTTTCTTCCTGTATGATGTTCTTAATGTCATCCCCAACTCTTCTAGTTTTCAGCCATCTGTCTTTGACTCTCATGGACTTGTTTTAATTATCTTCAGGTTCAGCCTGAACTTGTATTTGGTCTGTTCTACAGTCTGCCCTTGGCCTTATTTTGACTGATGTTATGGAGCTTTCTCACCATCTCTTGCCACAGATGTAGTTAGTTTGGGTTCTGTGTATTCCATCTGGTAAAGTCCACATTTATAATCATCTTGGATGCTGTTAAAGAAAAAGGTATTTGCAGTGAAGTAGTCATTGATCTTACAAAATTCTATCATGGGATCCCCAGCATCGTTTCTGTCACCAAGTCCATATTTTCCAACTACAGATCATTCATCTCTGTTTCCAACCTTTGCATTCCAATCACCAGTAATTATCAATACATCTTGATGATGCCATGTTCAGTCAATTTCAAACTGAAGAAGTTGGCAGAATTCTTCAGTGTCATCCTCACTGGCTTTAGTTGTTGGCATGTAAATTTGAATAATAGTATTTACTGGTTATCCCTGTAGGCATAAGGGTATTATTCTATCACAGACAGCATTATTCTTCAAGATTGATCTTGGAATGTTCTTTTTGATGATGAATGCAACACTATTCCTCTTCAATTTGTCATTCTTGGAATAGCAAATCACATGATTTTTGGATTAAAAATGGTCACACCAGTCCGTTTCAGCCAATTAATGCCTAGGTTATCGATGTTTATGCATTCCACTTCATTTTTGACAACTTAAAATTTTCCTAGATTTTGTACATTCCATGTTTCAAATGTTAATGGATGTTTGCAGCTCTTTCTCCTCATTGAGTTTTATCCCGTCAGCAAATAAAGGTCCCGAAGGCTCTACTCCATTTGCATCAACATGACCAACTCTACTATGAACAGGCAGTTCTTCCCCAGTCACATTTTGATTACCTTACAACACTATATGTGACAATATTCTGGTGCTATTGATCATGATTCAGTATTCAATCTGCTGGTGCTATTTGACAGTGTTTCACTGTCAAACATTAGAAAGTAGTCTTCCTCTCCTTCTTCCGAGTTTGTTTTATTCTGGAAGCTCAGTTGAAATCTGTCTACTAGGGATGATCCTGCTGGCATTCAAAATACTGGTGGCATAGCTTCCAGCCTCACAGCAACATCCAAACCACCACAGTGTGACAAACTAACAGACAAGTGGTAGTCTGACTCATTAGAGATCCTGTATAGAGTTTCTGAGGCTGTAATCTTTATGGTAGCAGAAAACATCATCTTTCTCTTATGAGTGACTGGTGAATTTGAACTACTAATTTTGTGGTTAGCAGCCCAGCTTAGAACCCACTACGCTACCAGAGATCTTTATACTAAAAATTGTTGTTGTTGTTATGTGCCGTGGAGTCGGTTCCAACTTACAGTGACCCTGTACAGAGTTTCCGAGGCTGTAAATCTTTACGGAAGCAGAAAGCCTCATCTTTCTCCTGTGGAACAGCTGGTAGTTTCAAACTGCTGATCTTGTGGTTTGCAGCCCAATTTGTAACCACTATGCTACCAAAAAATAGCATTATTTTATTTTATAAAACCCAGCACACATAAATAAATAAATGAGGGTGGTCTTTATCTCCTAATTCTATAATACCAATTTATAGAGACTAAAATCTTTATATATTTTAGGGGCTGTTGTTGTTGTTGTTAAGTGCCATCGAGTTGGTTCCAACCCATAGCGACCCTGTATAGGGTTTCTGAGGCTGTAAATCTTTATGGGAACATAAAGCCTCATCTTTTTCCCATGGAACCACTGGTAGTATCGAACTGCTGACCTTGAGGTTAACAGCCCAACTCATAACCATTACACTATCAGGGCTCCTTATTTTTAGTTCGGATCATTCGACTTGAAGGTATTATAAAGACACAAAATGTACTTGTTGATTTATGGAGCAATAACCTTTTGAAGTCAACTGGCTTACCATCTTTAGGTTCTTTTTCCCTAGGACCTGTGGTGTAGGAACATACTTCTCCAACAGAGCGTATACAAAATTGCACGTATTGAAAATGAATGCACTATGAATGATTGGCGCCTGTTATTGCAGTGGTTAAACTCTCAGCAGCTAACTAAAAGTTCTGTGATTTGAACCTACCAACTACTTTGTAAGAGAAAGTTGTAGCAGTTTGCAGCCATAAAAATCACAGCGTTGGACACCCTATGGTGGTGGTGTTCATATGCCGTGGAGTTGACCCCAACTCATAGAAACCCTATATAAAGTTTCCGAGACTGTAAATCTTTATGGGAGCAGAAAGCCTCATCTTTCTGCTGCGGAACCCTGGTAGTTTCAAACTGCTGACCTTGAGGTTAGTAGCCTGACTTGTAACCACTACATTGCCAGAGCTCCTTTAGGAACCCCCCTGGGAAGTTCTATTCTGTCTGGAAACAGGAATCAGATCAACGGCAGTGAGTTGTTTTGATTTGTGTTTTGTGTTTTAGGAATGATTGATTAATGAAAGATACAGGAAATAGGTAGACTAGGGACACAGCACTCAAATTTTGCCAGTGACATACGCAAAATCAGGAGCCTAATGAAAGGAGCTCTGGTGTGGCACTGTAGGATCAGCACTGGACTGCTGACTTCAAGGTCAGCAGTTCAAATCCACCAGTCACTCCTCAGAAACCTTAAACACGGTTTCTATGAGTCAGACCCACTAGACAGCATTTACAACAATTACAATAAAAGCAGGTGCAGAGTTTAACACATTAAATGGATTAAAAATGCATGAGTATTACAATAAAGATGGCATCTGACCTTGACAAAGATGTGATGTTTGTTTGTGGCACTGGGTGTTGGAATAGCTTGTAAATTATTGTGACATGTTCAACCAAAGGTGCTCTGAAATCAGACAGAGTTTTGTAAAGCCGTCATTTGAATGGATGTGGTTGGTAACATTCAGGGGAACTAGGTGACAGTGGATGTGTGAGGTGTACATGTGACCATTTTGCATATTCCTAAGCCTTTCAGTTCAGTTAGACACAGTTTTTGGTATGTCCAACATTTCTTGCAGACAAAATTTAACATATGATCAAACTGTCCCCTAATACATTAATCACACTGGAACAAATTTGTATTTTCAAAACAAGCATTATAATAGAACAGATGATGCATAGAAAACACAAGTCTACTTATGTCCTTCCATCCAAGATTTTAGTGTGCATGTAGCTGTCTTTTCCTCAAATTTCCTTTGTGACTATAGCCAATGTTGTTGTTGTTAAGTTCTATTTAGTTGGTTTTGACTCAGAACAACCCGTATAGGATTTCCATGGAGAAGCTAGTGGGTTTGAACCGACCTTGTGGTTAGCAGTCCAGTGGTTATCCTACAGTGCCACACCAAGGCCCTAGTCAGTGATTTCTATTTCTTCTGTTATTTATACCTGTGCTACATCATGAATTGTCAGAGTTTTGCTCTTAAAGAACATCTGGATAAAAAGCTTCTTTATGTTGCAAAATTTTAACTCTAGTGATCACTGGTGGCAATGTAGGATAAGCACTGGTCTGCTAGCTGGATGGTCGGCAGTTGAAACCCACCAGTGGCTCAGAGAGAGGAAGATGAGGCTTTCTGCTCCTGTAATGATTTACAGTCTTTAAACCCTATACAATGTTGCTATGAGTCAGAATGACAGTAGGTTTGGTTTGGTTATGATGAAGTTTTTAAGTGTTTTAAGTTAAACCTGTACTAAATTAGAATTCTATTTATAAACTATGTAATATCCCTGCCTTTCTTTTCAAAGCTAGTAGCTGTGTTGAGGGAAGTGAAATACCTTCAGATGTTGAAGAAATCAGACATACCGGATTCCGCCTTAGCCATCTTTAAGAAAAGAAGTACTATTTTAAAGGTGTGTGTTTTTTTAGTCACTAGGCTTGATGAATAAATTCTAATTCTTAACATGTTGTTGTTGTTAAGTACTGTTATGTCGGTTTTGCTTATTTAGACACTGCATAGGATTTCCGAGGAGTACCTGGTGTGTTTGAACCACTGACCTTTTGGCTATCAAGCCAGTGTTTATCCTACAGCCCATACCAGGATGCCATGTAGACATACGGTATCTTCATAGAGTCCTGGTGTGGCACAGTAGGATAAGTGCTGGACTGATAACCAAAAGGTCAGCAGTTCAAACACACCAGCCTCAGAAATCCTATGCCAGGGTCACTATGAGTCAGAACCAACTGGACAGCACATATCAACAACCAAGTCGGAAAACTGTATTTGGTGCTTATCACAGCTTTGGTCCTTTTTTCTGTTTTGGGGTTTTCTTTGCTTTTGCACAGTACATTGCAAGTCTTGAACTTCTTGTGCAAGGGTATAATAAGCTGAAGCAGACCCTTGTCGAAGTTGAATACCCACTGGTTGTGGATGAACTGAGAGCTGTGGATGACCAACTGAAGGAAGCTGCGACGTCACTCACCTGGCAGGATGACTGCTGGGAATACATTGAGAAGGTGAAGATGAGCGCCTCTGAGCTGGAGCACCGGGTTCAACAGACTCAGAGCAACGTTCTAGTGATCCAGCAAATGATGAGCACCTGGGCTGAGTGCACGCTTCTTCCCAGGAGGGAGCACAGGAAGGAGACCCCCTTTACTCTGGAGGACAAGGGTGATGCCTTTGCTAAAAAATACAGGCTAATCCAGGAAGACGGCTGCAAGATACACAACTTGGTAGAGGTACTCTCTCTCTCTCTTTTTTTTTTTTTGAAGGGGATGGGGTACTCATGTTCTTTCTGTCTTTTTATTTTTTTAAATGTTTTGGAATTATGTGATGGTTTATGTGGGAGAACATTAGCTTTACATTCATCCTGTCATATCTCATTTAATTGCCATGGTTAAAATACATCATTATTTACCTCTGTCCCATGTAGCCCATACAAAACCTGACTAATTGTTTTTCCATCAGCCTTGTTTATCCATTCCCTTCCCCTTTTCTTGTGTATTGTCCCCACTCCCCAGTACCCAAACTATCCTTTGTCTATACCCTGTGTTCCACCTTCCCCTCCCTCCCCTCACCCTTCCTCCACATACCGGTAACCAGCAAAGAATCCACACACCCCCTTTAGTATGGGTTCTTTTTCTTAGTCTTTTACAATAGTGGTCCTGTACAGTATTTCTCCTTTTGTGACTAATTTCACTCAACATAATGTCCTTAAGGTTCCTCCATGCTGTGTGACTAGCTTAGGGTTTCCTTGTTGTTCTTCACAGTAGCAAAATATTTCATTGTGTGTATGTACAACAGTTTGTTCATCCATTCTTCAGTTGGTGGGCACTTAGGTGGTCTCCATCTTTTTGGTATTGTAAATAGTGCTGCTATGAACATTGGTATGCATATATCTATTCATGTTATGGCTCGTATTTCTTGTGGGTAAATACCA